AACCCTGAACCCTCTACTATATTCGCACATGGACCCTTTGGGGAAAACCCTCAACCCCTAGCCCGCCGGAAGCCTACCCTAAACCCTACCTGAACCCCAAAAGTATGTAGAATAATAGCCTTTTGGGCTATTTTAAGGGGTTTGGGGTTAAAATTTTACCTACTTTTGGGGTCCAGGTAAACCCTAAATCCATTGCACGTCCTGAGAAATAGGCTGCAGTTGGGAAACGGCCTGGACGAGGATCTCCTCGACTAAAGGTTGAGGGCTTAGGGGTTTAGGGGTTTAGGATTTAGGGTTTAAGTTTAGGGCCTAGGGTTTAGTGGTTTAGGGGTTTCAGGTTTTCAGGTTCAAAGGCCGGGGATTGAAGGGGTTCAGGGTTGAAGGTTTTCAGGTTTAAAGGCTAGGCTTTTCGGGTTTCCGGGTTTAGGGTTGTAGGGTTTAGTTGGCAGTTCGTAGAAGCTGGTGGTCTCTTTTATCTCTTCTCCATACTAAAAATGTGTATGAAAAACACAAAGGGGAACCTCCCTACCCTAAACCGTAAACCGTAAACCGTAAACCCTAAACCCTGCATGGGATCCATGTACCCTCCCAGAAAATCAGAAGCACCGGGTGTAAGGATGCCAAGGGACCACCAACCTTGTTAATCCCTCACGGTCCAAGGACCTAAATACTAAGGTTTTAGGGTTCAAATACCATTAATATTATAGTATTTGGGCCCTAAAACCCTATTATTTGGGTCCTTGGACCCTTAGGGAATCATTGCATACTAGTATTCGGGGTAGATCAGAATAAGTTCAAGTCCCAATTTAAGGCCAATTTGGTAATACCCCCCATATAAACCACCACTTAGGGTGCTTTGCCTATTTTTATCTTAAATACCCTCCCCACCCCTAATATTAAATACGGCCCCAAAATATGAGGCCTCTCATCGAGGAAAATGCGACATGAGGGACATTAGGGGGGTGGGGGGGACTAATACGAAGGGATTAACAGTAATCGCCCCTGTAAGCTTTAAACCCTAAACCCTAAACCCTAAACCCTACACCCTAAATCCTAAACCCTGAACCCTAAACCCTCAACCCTGTTCACTGGGCTTGGGGGACTGAGTCCCATCCACATGTCTTCCAACATTTTCAGACCCTACCCCCTCACGACCTCCCGCACCTCATAGAGCCTTCCCACTTAAGCCACCGTAGGGTTTAAGGCTTAGGGTTTAGGGGAACAGATCTTCATGACTCGTGATAACTCTATAGCTGGTGCTTCTGCCTCCATCTCTCCGTCGCTATCCATGATGGCCTAGGCTGTCTGGCATGGCACTAGGCTATTGAGATTACATATGGATTTGCTGGGGACGTCGCAGTAGTTTTCTAAGGATCTACACAGGTTCTACAGGGTTCCTACCTGCACCATGCAGCTCACTGGTGCTTAAGGGTAAGTGTTGGAGTGAAAATACGGAGGATTGCAGGGTCATGCATGGAGAGTATATATCATTATAGGGTTTAGGGTGTAGGGATTTAAGGATCCACTCCCCCACTCTCCCTTAAGCACGAGTAAGGCAGCTGATGGAGGGTTTGTGCAACTCGCAAGGCATGTGCAACATTGCAACGTTGAATGTTTCAGCAACTTTGGGTGATGCAGAATGTATTCCCCAAGGGTCCATATAGGAATATCGTATAGCACTGAAGGTCTATGGTAGCGATATTGTTTATACTTAGGCCCCAACGGGGTTCATATATACCCACTTTGGGGCCCAAGTTTTCTGTATTGCTACATGGCCCTTTGGGCTCCATCAACATTAAGACGGTAGACAGCTAGTCTTCTGCAGTTCAGAGGTGCGCGGTCGAGGGTTGAGGGTGGGGCTTTGTACCCTACATCCTCAAAACACTAAATCCCTAAACCCCAAAAATGGACTTGGGCTTGTGATGCCGGGGGCGTGGGGGCTCAGAGTCGGCAATTGCAGGGGCTTCCCACAGAGGGACCGTAGGGTTTAGGGTTCCTAGGGCTAGTTCTACACGGGTTATAAGTGCTCTAAACGAGGTTGGCCTGCTTATAATATACATGTAACCTACTCGCTGAGTCCATGAGCTTTCAAGTAGAACCCGCACGGACCATGAGGGTTGCTGAAGTTCTAGTGGACCGCCACCAACCCTGGAGCCCTAAACTCGTCTGTAGGGTTTAGGTTAGGGTTTAGGGTTGAAGGTTTAGGGCTTTCAGGGTTTAGGGGCCTAACTGATTACCAACCAAGGAGTGGAGATTCACATGGAAAAGAAGATCGAGATGGACATTGGTGGCGTATATAAGGCCTTATGGGGATTATGGAATGTGGGGGGCTAAATAAATGCCAATATCATTGTGAGGAATGCTTGGCGCTCTACACCAGAAGTCTTCAAGAATCTAGCACCTCCATGTTGGTACTTGTTTATGACAATGGTCTCTAAAACGATCGCCGACTGAATTCACTGAAGTCACCTCAGCCTCAGACTGGTGGGTCTTTTCAGGCTTCTGTGAATTTGCTATTCCCTCCGACGTGGTACTAAACCCCTAACATTGCCTATTCACAATATGGCATGTCATAATGTGCTGGGAATATTTAATATTGGGGAAGTGGGCGGGGTGGTCAGAAAATCAAAGGAAGTGAGGGAGTCACGTCAGTTTGAAAGGTGCATGTGGGAGGCCTACTGCAACCCTATGATGCCAACATCTAAACTCCTGCAAGATTAAGTGGATCTTTCTGGAAGCCAGCCACAATAAGTCTCAAGAGACCGAAGTTCATTCCACAGTATGAGACACTGTGAACATGCCTGGGGACTGTTGTGCCTAGAGAAACAAAGTGACACCCGGCCCCCAACACCCTGTCGAATGCCTAAGTACCAAGTACCGAGACCCCAAAACCTAAATGCCTAAAACTAAAATCCTGAATGCCACAGACCAAAATCCTAAAACAAATCCACTGACCAAATGTGCTCACGCTTAACTCGAGATAACACTTAGAACGCTGAACCCCAACCCTTTGCGGGTCAAGCAAATGACAACCAACACAGTCCTACCCTTACTGATCCCAGTAAGAATACAGTATATACTCTGAGCCCAAAGGGCTTCCCATGTACCTGCGCTGGGGCCCATGCATACACGATGTAGCTACATGGACTCTTTGGGGATCAGCAGTGCTAGTACGGAACTGCAATGTAGGCGTGATGCCAAGTCTCCAGTACCGAATAATCATATTCTTAAACCCTGACCCTTAAACTCATTTTACCGGGGCCCCGAGTAAAGTAATGACACTGCAAGCCCTAAACCCCAAACCCTAAGCCCTACATTGAAGTCTCAAGGCTTCAATCTGATATCCGAACCCCAAGGGTGGAATTCCAACGACTTTAGAGTTTATACCCCTCTAAACTTCCAAGTACCTCAAAACACAGCCGATACGTTTAGGGCCAGGGAGTGGGTTAAGGGCTTAGGGCTCCTTTTGGCGTAGTTCTGGTGAAGGCTTTGGATTATGGAGAAGAATTAGAGCTGCAGTCTAAACTCCCAATATCCCCCTTAATCATCCGTATCGTAGTCCCCCTATATAGCCCCCCTTTACGGACGTTAGACTATAGCTCATGTGATTCTTATTCCTTAGTCGGACAGTTCCAGAACCCCCTAAACCCTAAACCCTAAACCCTAACTGCCCAATCCAGCGCCTCCAAACCCTCAAACACTCTACTTGGAGGTCCGTTGTACTTATAACCTACTTAGTAACTGTAGTTATAATCCAATTACATCTAGGGTAACGGTGGCTATGAGATTTATAACTGGGTTATAACTACGGTTACGAAGTAGGTTATAAGTACAACGAACCTCCAAGTAGACAACGTAGGTGCGCGCCACTAGCAGAAACCCAGAAACCAACAAATGTGCAAAGTTATCCAGCAAATTGAGCTTCTGCTACATCCTAGCAGCCTTGCCATTCCTCACGACAGGAAAGTAGGCATCCAAAGAGGATGACGACACAATTATAGGAGAACGCGCTAACCTGCCCCATGTTTTTCTTAACACACCTTCTGTCTTTCACAAATCGAGCTGCGACTCTTGCCAAACTCTTCCAGCGACCCCGCGGAAACAGGTCTGAGCCGAAACGCCCGAAATAACAATCCCTAGAAGCCCAGTTACCTATATATTGGGTTCCTGTCCTTAAGTCCCTATATAATTCTATACTACCTGTAGCCCAAGGACCTACTATATGGGTACCTGGGCTTCTAGCGAATGCTTCTGGCATGGGCAAATCGACTTCCCAAAGTGCATACGCGTGTCAGTTTTTCAGACAAGCGTGCTCATGGGAGCCAGAACGATCAGGGATTGCAAGCGGGCATGGGGGGAAGTACTAAGGGCTCTGTCAGGAAAGTGGAAACATCCATATGTGAGGTGAGGTGTCTGGATATTGGGGAAAGGCGCGAGCATGTTGTAAGCTGCCAATGTACAAGCCTGAATATCTAGAGGTCTGTTTGAGCTACCCTATACTGTAAGTATAGAAGGTGGTGCTTGGACTTGTGAGGGCAGAGACGTCAACGCCCAAAAAGCGTCACATTTTAAGAGAGCGGGAGGAGCATCGGAACTGGTACGCCTGATGTCCTAAAGTTTATGAACGCTAAGGCCATGAAACATGTTCAGTTGTTTCCAACACCACAAGCGCCCAAATATCTAAAATATTAAGCCCTCAGGCATGAAAAAAGGAAAAAGACTTCTCACTTTGCATCTGAGACCTTGAGCTGCTTCATTTGGGCTTCCGCTCCTAAACCGAGCAGGCTAATGTTGGACGGTACTGGGAACTCATGTCGGTGCCTTCCAGCATCCAGAAACCCACTGCGTTTTAAGCTCTCTTGATCCCCAAGCCCTAGGGTTTGGGGTTTAGGAACCCTAAACCCCAAAATCTGCAAATGTGAATGTCGCAATCTCATTTCCATGTTACCTGCATAACTCTGCATAACCCAATACTCTTTTGCGTGCCCATTCTCTTGAGCCTCCACATTCTCCGTGTTGAGGTGGAATTCGCGCTGAATATCACTAAGGTCGCCCAGCCTTGACGCTTAGGGTTTAGGGTTCAGGGTCTTTTTGTTAAAAAGGAATAGGTTCTTCTCTAATATGGTTTCCATACAACGGAAACCCTATATAGCCCCTGTATTCCTGTAGTTTCCATCTTATTTTCCATTATCCCACACTTTCATCGAAACCTTTTTGGTATTCCTTACTTCGCTGGGGAGCCACGTCTACAAGCAATACCTACACCGAGCGCTAAAGTAAGGACAAAAAATGTTGGCGCTGTTTGGATCCTAAGGCCTGAGCCCTAAACCATTCTCTAACCCTAAACCCTCAACCGTAATCCCTATCATAAGCCCTAAACCATTCCCCAAACCCTAAGCCCTAATCCCTAAGCCCGTTTTGAGGTGAGGTGATGAATTAACAGCTTTCACTGTTTCGGCTTGAGGGCCTGTATCTCGGGTTTCAGGTCCAGTTCATCTGCCTGAGAGCCAGCGCGCCTGTGCTTATGTATACGTACCATAGGTCGTATAAAGGGTTCAGAGTTAAGGTTTACAAAGCACAGGGCTCTGGAAAGGCATGCGGTAACGTCCTTTTCCCGTCTTCTCATGGATACCATGTAAATCCCACTTGCAAGGGTTGACGCATGCGATGCCTGGCTTTGTCTGTAGTTGGAAGTCAACTGCCTGCTAGCCGCGGTTTAGGGTTTAGGGTTTAGGGAATTCTAATGTGAACAAATAGCCCATGTGCATGGCCGAAAGCCCAAGTGTTGTTGAGCTGCCTCTAGGGATCCAAATGCCAAATGCAGGTAATATCTATAGACTTCAGGCCCACTGTCGGCATTATTTGTATACTTGGATCGCTATATAACCCCTATATGACCCCAGTTTCCATTTCATTTTCCATTTTCTGGTTCATTTGATTCTCTATTCTACCTAGGAATGTGATTCTAATTCACCCTAAATCGTACACCCTAAACCAAAAATTCTTTTTGTACACTTGGATCCCTAAGGTACTACGAAAAGAACACCTTTTTTTCAGAAGCTTTACACAACGTCAAGAGCCAAAGTTGACCTATCCGAAGGAAAGCTCGAGGAGAAAGCCGCACCCGATAGGAGTGCTGGGTTTAGGGTTTAGGCGTTTAGTGTGTTAGGGTTTAGTGTTTAGGGCTTAGGGTTTAGTGTTTAGGGCTTAGGGTTCAGTGTTTGGGGCTTAGTGTTCAGGGTTAAGGGTTTACAGGGCTTAGTGTTTAGGGTTTAGTGTTTGGGGCTTGGGATTTGTGGTTTAGGGTTTACGTCCTGAGTTCCTGACAAGGAAGACAGCAACTTCTCGGAGTCCATGCGCCTTCCATGGCTCTGTTGCTGTTTAGAGTGGCTTCACACGCAGGACCGCCTCATAGATAAAAGTCCCCCTTTAGTAGATAGGATATGGAATTGACCCATATCATAATAAGATCCCCAGATACTCCAGATTCTATCTACTTAAGGGTGACTGTATACAGTTCGTGGAGGATCTAGAATGATTCCGGGCTGAAGGTTGCAACTGTAGCGTTGACAGAATTGAGAAAGTGCAAGGTTCCCTATAAGCATCTTAGAGGGTCTAGGGGGGTTACAGTAGGGTTTAGGGTTGAGGTATTTTGTTCTAGGTTCAGGGTTGGGTTTAGGGTTTAGGGTGAGGTATGTTGTTTTAGGTTTAGGGTTTTGGCTTTAAGGTTTGAGGTTTAGGGTTTGAAGTTTAGGCTTTAGGGCTCAGGGTTTAGGGGTTTTACTCGCAATAATGGAGACCCAAATTGTTATAGTTATGTTTGCCTCTTATCATTTTTCCAAGTTTGGGACCTTATGTTGCTCTTTTTTTTCCTCTTCTCGTTTTACCGAACCAAACCATACGTTTTGCGCGTCGCGGCGCACGAGGACATAACTCTGGCACGGGGTGATTAGACAACCCCACTTTGGTGTTGGGGAGTAAGGACTACACTAGGGATCCATCCCTTCATCCTTGCTAACCAGAGGTAACTAAACCCACCTTGAAGGTTCATGGAATTTAGGAGGTACTTATAACATGGGGCTATACCCTCATACTAGAGATAACCTCTATATTGCCATTTAAGGGGATTGTAAGTAAGGCTATAAGCCCAGTTAGAAGCAGCTACTAAGTCCCATGAGCCTTCACATGGTGCAAAAGGCGTCGCGCTGCATGCCAGAGTTGCGACCTCAGAAACCTAGTACAGAGGGGACCTGGACCAGAGCTTAAAGTCAACAAGCCCAGAAGCTTACCTGTTTAGGGTTTAAGGTTTAGGGGTTTAGGCTTCAGGGCACCTGGACAATTCAAGATCCCCATGACTTAATATATTCGTTTTTGTCTTTCTTGGGAGCTCTCAGTACCCTACACCCCGAACCCTAATCCCCAATTTGAAGAAGAAACCCTCAGCCCAGCTCGGGCCTCAGCTACTGGCTTTTCCCACATTCTATGGGGCTTTGCGGTATCGTCCCCGGAGCTAGCATGGAACCCCAGGAATGATTTCAAAATCAGGCGCAAGACTCCCAAGACCAAAAAGAAAAGAGCCAAAAACTCTGATACATACTTTGGGATTCATGTACTGCATCCTAAGTCCTATACTCGAACGTTCGACCCTAAGCCCCAAGCACTAACCCATTCTCTGTACCCCATAAACTGGGGTCTACATGGGGTTCCATGCTACTCTGGCGGATCCCATTGGAGCCCTTCCAAAAAAATGCAATGAGTTAGGGGTTTTTGGTTTTACGGTTTTTTGGCTTAGGCTTCAGGGTTTGGAGGGGCTGCTTGTTTAGGGCTCGGTGCTTTCAGTGGCCCTAACCCTAAGCCCCTCAACCCTTAACCCTAATAATTTGAGCCAAGGACGGTTCGTGTATAGAGTGGGTTAGGCCCCCACCAACAAATAGTGGTATACTACAAATATATGGGGGCCCCAACATAGCCTTGCTTCGTGTTTACAATGCCTGGGGCCAAGCGTAGATTAACAGTCCAGGGTTTAGGGCTACTTGGTTTCCTGAGCCTTGGTTACATTGAACAAACACAAAAAAAAGCTATGCGAGGGCTGCAGGTACACCTACCGGATTAAGCACTCGTTATCAGAAAAAGAGCAAGAATTCAGGCTCGGCAAACGGAATGCTTGCAGCATAGACGTCGAGCGTGCATCTCAGGAAGCGGGACCTAATTACGCCGAATGACTCAAATACCGCTTTAAGGAAGCCAGATCATTCACCACATATGCATATATAGTCATATATATACATATGAGCATATACTGTGCATCACTTAAGATCCTCAACCCTAAACAACCCAGGAATTAAATGCCCTGGTTCGTCCTGGCCCACATGACCCTGGATGGCACACCCTCCACCCCGAACTCCCCAGACCCCCAAATCAAAGGGGATCTAAAAATTAGATCCCCTAGAACCATATGGGAAATTATATAGGGATTATATAGGGGTTAAAGTTATAGTGGGTTTATATAGGGGATCTAATTTTTAGATCCTCCCAGGGGTCTGGGTCCACTACGATGTGACCTCTGCGTCTCTCCATTGATGCGAAAGGTGGCCTCCGCCTCTGTAATGGCTGCTTGAGGGCTTGGGGTCAAGGACTGAGTAGGCCCTTTAGGGTTCAGGGTTCCCTAAACAGGTTCCCTAAACCCTAAGCTCTAAGCCCTAAACCGCTTGAGAGCTCAGTTCAAGGTTCCTTGAACCCTAGGCCGTTTGAGGGTTCAAGGTTTGAGGGCTTGAGGTCTAGGATTCAGGCTAAAACTTGACTAGGGCTTGGGGTTTGACGCTTCAGGGTCGCAGGCTGTGGGCTTAGGACGTAGGATTTCTGATTGAAGGGGTTGACTCAATGGTGAAGGTTTTAAGGTTTATTGTTGTAGGGTTTAGGCTTGAAGGTTTTGGGTTTGGGTATTTAGGGTGTAGGCTTAAACGGTTTTTAGAGTTCAGGGTTGAAGGCTTGGGGCCTTCGAAGGCATAGGGTTTATGTCTGCCTGGCCAATAAAGTAGACTGGTGCATTCTGCGGCGACAGAAATTTCTGAGCCATAGCCAAGCCAGTGTGATCCATTGGCAAGTAGCGATTAGCACACGAGGGTGAGCACTGGGCCCTAAACCCTAAACCCTAAACCCTACCTTGCAAGCCACCTGTGAGGTCAGTGCGGAGATTGCCATGTCTGTGGCGACTCCATCTGGAAGATGACTTCCTGCATAAACTTTACAGGTGTATTGGTTGGGTCAATCCCCCACCCAGTAATGGGTACCACAAGGGACTATTGTAGGTATATTAAGGCCTTATTAAGTCCATGTTAAGGAGCTATTACTATAGGGGGGATTGACCTAATGTATTGGAAGTGGATAATTCAGTATCATCTTCCTAAAAGCAGTAAAACCACTGTTGTCAGCATCTGGTCCTCCACTAGAACTCTCCTCATCAGTGGAATCGCCGCCAAGCCGGCAAGCCTCAACCCTATCCTCAAGCCCTGAGCCTCCTCCAGCCAAACGCGCCTCAGGTGAGCCCACTAGGTAGGCATCTGTGAGAATTGTGCTTTAGAATATAGTAGTTTCCATCTTCTTTTCCATTATCCCAATAAGCCCCCCTTATGACCCTATAATCCCCAATATAATGTAGTAGCTTCCATTCTATTTTCCATTGTCCCATTATAACCCTAAAACCCTATTATTTGGGTCCTTGGACCCTTAGGGACAATCCTGCCAAGCTTCCCCTCAGACTGTCTGCAGCGGATCCATCTGGAAGACACCCAGGAAATCAACTCTGGGAACCCATGATATGAACTCGGCTTATAAAACGCCAGAACCTTGGGTTTTTGCACAACCCTCACGTGACTCTATACAATCCTCTTCTTATAGGTACGTCTCCGTAGCAGTGTACAGGGTACAAACGGAACCAAGCTTATCAAGATCCTCTCCCTGTAGATATGTCCACCCACCCAAAACCCAAAACCCTGAAATCCCGAAACCCTGCAGCCCTAACAAGCTGATCCCTAAGGGTTTGGGGTTTAGGGGCTGTGGATATATCACAATATACCCCAAGGGTTCCACGAGGCCCCTGTAGCCCCTTGGAAACAACCATATACGATGCACTGAACCCTAAACCCTAAACCATAAACCCTGAACCCTAAACCCTAAACCCTGTCCAACCCGGGGCCTCCACATGGACTCGCAATGTCTCAAATCGATCTTCCCACCTGTGCCAACGTGGTTGAAGGTTCAAGGTTGAGGGCTACAGCGTCTAGGATGTAGGGTTTAAGGTCAATGGCTTTGTGGACTTAGAGCTTGACATTTGGGTTGTTGGTTACGGGCTTGGGAGTTAGCATTGATCATGGGTTACTCTATTTCCCCCCTCCCTCACTACAACCGCAGGTTCTCCCTTGATTAGTTTTCCTTAGCCTGAGCAGAAGGACAAGAGAAACACATGAGCCATAATCTACTATCCCCCCTTGGTAACTCTCTAAACCCTAAACCCTCAAGCCCACATAAACTTACCATTGCTTAGGGTACCCAAAGTTCCTTAAATGTAACATTCTGGAACCCAAAGGACCCCCTCCCAAACCTTAAGTAATGGTAATGAACAAATACTCAGTACAACTCTCTTTAAGGAGATTAGACTACAGATCACCTGAGGCCTGAGCTAAAGTTGTAGTATGTCCCTTTCAATAGGTCGCCGTATACCCCCCTATATATCCCCTGAGGATCCAAGGACCCAAATAATAAGGTTTTAGGGCCCAAATACTATACTATTCATGGTATTTGGGCCCCAGAACCCTATTATTTGGGTCCTCGGACCCTTAGGGATCCCCTTTCTTTGCGTTTTTTTAGAGGGTCCGGGTTGCTCTAGGTAGGGCTTCCCTACTTGGTGTTTCAGGTGAAGGGTGTAGGGTTTAGGGTTAAGGGTTTTAGGGTTTAGGGTTTAAGGTTTTAGGGTTTCAGGTTTAGGGTTTACAGCTTAGGATTTATCAGGTTTAGGGTTTAGGGTTATTAATTACGGGGTCATGGGGAGAGCAACCAAACCTTGCTACGTTGCCTAGGCCCCTATGGCCTACCCTCTTTTCCAGATACCTACCTTTATGTCCAGTATCTTCTACATTAAAAAACCGGCACCCTCAAAAAGGGGTGGGGTATAGAGGTCTAGGTATTGGGCATGTTCACTGCAAGAGTTCGCTTGAGAGGAGGTGATTGGATCGAGTTACGTTTAAACTTTAACCCCGAAGCTCTAAATCCAAAACCCAACTGCGATGCTGAAACACCAAGTCGGGAAGCGATACCTAGAGCCTCTCTGCCCGGTTGTTGTGCAGCACGGGCTTCATACATGTAACACTTGGAAAGACCTAGACAATTCCCCTAGCACCCTATAAAATCCCTACATGAGCCCTTCTTACTCGGGGTAGCTTGATAAACCCTAGACCCCTGGACCTGCCGCTCTAATAATGTAAAGAGATAAACATACTTTCAGATCTAGAGCAAAATCCTGCAACACCAAGACAGCATTCCAAAGAAACGCCTCCGCAACCCCTACACAAAAGAAATCCTAAACCCTAAGTTCCTACACAGACACACACGCACGCGCCTGCCTCTGCAACAAGCCCTGCAATTCTGTAGTCTGCAGTCGCAGTTGGTCCTTTCTGGAAGGGCTATATAGAATCTATCGAGAAAAGGAATCATTCAAAGCTAATGCAAAAGCGGGATCCAGGGCTTCCGGACGTCCTGCGAATTGTATCGGTTTCCATAGCGGTTAAAAAACACAGACTTGATACACAACATGCCCAAAGCGAAGTGTACTTCATTGTCCAGCTCGAATACCAAGTCAGCTTTTGCGCAGCAATCGAAAAGCCAAATCCAAGCAATCGCCTTCCCGAGCTCGTATACACACCCTAAACCCTAAACACTAACTTCACCTGAACGCCGTCGGCATGCGTATGAATAGTCGGAAGCCGTTAGTGGAAAATGCCAGTACCTGCTCCCAGGAAAATGAGAAAACAACCACAGGAGAGCTTGTCCAACTTCTAGTTTTGACGGTAACGAAAGCTCGCATAGTTTATTCGATGAAGCAGACGTATGTCTGGGGCTTCGTTCGGGACCTGCAACTTCTCAAAAATGCTGCTAAGTTAATCTTGAAACATCATCATAAACTTTACAGGTTGGATGGGCTTGGTGTGTAAGGAGAAGACGGATGTATTTCAAGGCTGTCAGGTGGATGGGATATGCAGGGGCTGTTGCAGGTTTAGGGGTTGGGGTTTAGGGTCTAAGGTAATACAAACATCAACATCTACTTTCAGTCAAGCTGCATTGAGAACATGTGTCAGGGGCCTCCAGGCCTCCAGAAACCCCAGGCTGAGGGCCCCCGAAAATGGCCTGTCTGAAGGTTTAGGTTGGCAGCAAGTTTGGCAATTTGCTGAGGGCAACCCCCTATTTATTGCCTGGCGGACCTCCAACTTCAGCATTTTCCGGGGTCTGGCAGAGGGCCCCCCCCGGACTCCCAGCCCGAGACCCAGAAGCACATTACATACAAAAGAAAAGAGGTGCTCGAGGCGGGCCTCAGGGTCCCCAAGCGAACTTCTGTCCACATAGATATCTACTTATCACTTGGTTCCATTGCTTAAACCAGACAGACACATCTGCCTGTCCCTGTGTTCATTCTTTTATACCTAGACACACAGACACGCACTGAGTATGCACTATGTGAGCAGTTGGATTCTAAATTGGACGTGTTATACTGCTATACATAGTAATGTGAAGCTTATAAAAAGAGAAGCACTACTAACTGTTCAGGCTGCTACCCAGACCCTCCTATGTAGTTCCTTTTTGGGTAGTTTATTATAATCCCTTACCCAAAAACCATAACAAACCCAAAGAGGAACTGCATTGGAACCCTTGGGTACATTATTACTGATGCTCGCACAGCCGTGACGCATTTACGTACGTCAATGTTGTAAACTGTGAATGACGGTATTCGGGTAAGCCAAGCTCATGCACCCTTTTGGTATCAGCCTTGAGTCCTAAAACCTGTAATCCCTACATATTATATATTGCTGGATATGACTACATTCCTTTAATCCCGCGTATCCATCGTAGAGCTCTAGAGCCGCCTAAGCCCTAAACATTTACAGTTTGTGGGCGCTTGGACCCTCAGGGTGATTGCCGGGAGTCCTTTGCAAGAGCTGCGAGCTCCTCAGGCACCAGAGAGCTGTACGATTTAGGGTTTAGGGTTTGAGGTTTGGGGCTTAAGATACTAGCACATTAAGCCCTAGTCGAAAATTCATGGGACTTAGTGATTACTCAGAACAACGTTTATAACCTTCCTTGGCAGCCTTTTACATGCACCAAACTAGTACAGCTTTGGGTTCAAGTTTTAGGGTTTGGGGCTCGGGGTATCTCAGTGGGGGGCCGTGCTGGTGCTGGAAGCACCCAGGCGCGCTCCCTGAACCTTACGGTCCCATCCCCGCTGGCGCTCCACCCTCGCCTCAAACTCTACGGGTTTAGGGTATTCTTTCGAACTCTGAGCGTGCTCCTGTGTTCTTACTTGTTCTCGGCTGCAGTCTAGACCATGCGCAAGATTTGGAATGGGTCTGGTTCGAGGCCTCTACTGTTCTACAGATTGAGTCGTGGCTGGAGGCGTTCAAACCTTGGACGACTTGGACCTGCGGGTGCAGTGTTTGGGCTAGGTTTGGCTCGAAGCCTGCAGTTTTCCTCAGAATGATTTGGACCTCCAGGCGGATGTAAGGTTTGGGTTGAACGTGTAGTTTTTTAGATTGAGCCTGAGCTAGAATCCTGCAATCCTGAACTCTAGCGGGTGCAAGGTTCGAGCTGGCTGGCTCAAGGCCCCTAGCTTTCTTCCGCTTGAGCCTTGGCTAGAGGCCTCCAGTCTTTGAAATTTTCTGCAGAGTCCTGGAGCTGTCGAGACCTGCATCTGGAGAGGCCCTGGAGGAAGTGGGAGGCTTCAACCTCTGCGGGTTTGGGTTGCCTTGCTCTCTGATCGCGCTCCAGTCTTCTTGTTTAACGTTCATTTTTACACCTGTGTAAAACAGGCGGGTGCAAGGTTTGGGCTGGGTCTGGCTCAAAGCCTCTACTCTTCTTTTGCTTGAATGACTTGGACCTGTCTGGAGCAAGAGGGTTCTGGGATAGGAGGTCCTGCGATGCCCTGGGAGTAGAAGGCTCAGGTTGGCAGGGCAAAAGAGGCCCAGGCCCTGGGAGGCTCTGGGAAGCCCGACGCCTTCGCAGCGAGTCCTTTTTCTGGGCCGTGAGCCGCTGCCGGCAAGTCAGCTGGTCCCGAGATTCGCTAGCAGAGGGCCCTGTGAGGCCTGCCTCAACAAACAGAACAGGTTTGCGATCTGTCGCCAGCCAGGGCTTTCGGCTCCGGAGCTCACTCAGCCTGAGACGAGCAATAACCTCCAGAGGAGAAATCCTATAGCCCCAAAACCTTAAGCTCAAATCCTTCAACTCTACATAGGTCCTAGACCCTAAGCCCTACTTGAACCCCAACTCGTTTAGAAGTCCGAGCTCGGGGCTGAAGGACATTGGAGTTTCGGAAGTGCTGGGCTGGGAGTTAATTTAAGTTTTAGGGCTTAGGGCTTAGGATTTCGCTGAATAAGAGGGCCCTAGTGTCCCAAAGTATGAATACGGGTAGGAAGGAGATTGAGCGAGTCCTTCTTTGGAGTTCTATAGGTTGATTGGTTGGAACCCTAAACCCTGAACCAAAAGACCTAACACCTATATAAACTCTACACAGGGATCATGTTGGGAAATACCAATTCCACAGCATGCCTAGGCATCCTTAAAACCTGTCGGGATTAGGTCATGACAGTAGCCCTCTTTGAAGGGGCTTTAGGAAGTGTAAGGGACACGTAGGGACAAATAGGGTTTAGGGCTAAAGGCTCATTGCGTCAAATCCCCCGCAGTTGGAAGACTGCTCCTTGCTCAAACCTTCGACTTCAAAAGCCATGAGCCCAAGCCCTAACTGTCTCAGACCCCAGCCCTCACATGTCAATCCGGAAGCATGAAGCCTGAGACTCCAAGGAGCGCACCGTAAATCCCGTTCTGTATGCGGAAGGGGTCGATCAGCAGACACCGGCTCCGGATCATCAGGACAAAGGGGCGAAAATCTGAAAAGGCCACCCTCCCTGCCAGCTTGGGGTTTAGGCTCCCGGGAAACATGGTGCTCAAATACATCACCTTGAAAGAGGGGAAGGTAGGCAGTCTTGGTTTAGGTTTAGGGTTTTAAGTCTCTGGGTTTGCAGAAAGGAAAAATCCCCCACGTAGAGCTGCTGCCAGAGAGTGCCAGTATTACCTAGACCCTGGATGTCCTTCCTTTTGTGGGTTCTGTCCTACATATTTATAGGGTATATCCCCAGAAAATAGGACATCCAGGGTCCAGGTAAAACTATGCGAGTATGTGACTACTGCCACTATGATGACGCCCAGGTTACCTCAGCTATGCACTTGCACGGTGTCTTGGTAAGGTCCTGGTAACCCGTATGCTCCCAGAAAGTCCCAGAAATCCTCCTACGATGACTACAACCCCTATATATCCCGATGTATTAATTTTTTCAATGGATTCCCAGTAGAATCCTCATGGGGCAAGCCATAAATCTTTTCCTTGAACCTTGAACCTTAAACCCTAAACCCTCAAAACCCTAAAACCCTCAAAGCCCTAAACCCCAACAACCCTAAAACTTAAACTCTCAATTCAGAAGTCACCGAAAATGCCCCGAAATCACCGGAGCTCCTCCGTATGGCGCAGCGTGAGCCGATCTTCGACTAATCGTTGCACCTGGAAGGGGCTCCAGACCCTGAGGGTCCAAGGACCCAAATAATAGGGTTTCAGGGCCCAAATACCATACTACTAATGGTATTCCTGCCCTAAAACCCTATGATTTGGGTCCTTGGACCTTAAGTTTTAGGGCTCAAGGTTTCGGGTTTAGGGATAAAAGCTAGGGTTTAGGTTTTAGGGCTCAAGGTTTAAGGTTTAGGGATAAAACTAGGGTTTAGGTTTTAGGGTTCAAGGTTTAGGGCTTAGGGATAGAAACTAGGGTTTAGGTTTTAGGGTTCAAGGTTTAGGGTTGAGTGTTTAGGAGTTAGGGTTCTAAATTCAGGGTGTATATAGGATTTAGGATTAGATTTTAGGGTTGAAAAATTAGGGTTTAGGATTCAGAGTGTAGGGGACCCCTGTAGGTATTATATTTAGGTATTCGTATAATATGGGAGATGTAGGGCGGTTGCCAGGTACAGCTTGACAGTATTCAAAGAACACATGGCATGAAGGAGGGCATACGCCCAACTTCTTGACTCCCACATGAGCAGCTTAGGGTTTAGGGTTTAGGGTTCGAGGTTTAGGGCTATAGTCTAAACTCCTAGCATCCCCTCAATAAGCCCTTCAATACTCCCATATATCCCGCTTGAAGGAGTTTGGACTATAACTCACACCAGGCGCTTGATATCAAAAACCCTAAAGGACCCTGAGTAGCTTAGACCTTGGGAATAATGGTGCCGTAGTATACTAAGGCCATGCAATTTTCTATTATCAACAGTGCCGTTTAATTGAGGGATATACCTTACCCTGAGGCTACCGATTATTTGTGGCTTTCTGGGAGATGGTTTTTGCCCTTTGCGGGCTAAGGTTTGGAATCCCCCTAAACCCTAAACCCTAAACCCTAAAACAGGGTCCAAGAGCCGTACGTGTGGAGGGTTTTAAGGTTGAGATACACAATATTCCAAGCTCTGAGTCCAGCTCCCTAAGACCGAAACCCTAAACCTCAGACCTGCAGAGCCAGAAGGGTTAAAACCCTAAACCCTAAAGCAAAAACCTAAAACCCTACAGCCTCAAGCCTACCTGGACCCCAATGTAAAATAATTGCCATTATGGCTGTAATTATGGGTTTAGGGCTAGTAATTTTACATACTTTTGGGGTTGAGGTAAACCCTAAACCCTAAAACCCTAAAACCCTGAACCCTAAAACCCTAAACGCTAAACCCTAAAACCCTAAACCCTAAAATCATAAACCGTAAAACCCTAAACCCTACAGCCTAAACCCTACATCCAACACAATCCAACAACCTCGCAAAGATGGATGCCTCTGGCCTCAAAGGGTTTAGGGTTTAGGGTTTAGGGCGGCTTCTGAATGGGGGGAGCCTTTGGGGAACCTATGGGGCTTATAGGGTTTGGGGAATTCTGAATGGCGGGGAGCCGTTGGGGAGCCTATATAGGGTTTAGGGTTAAGGGAACCTATAGGCATTGTCGTGAGTAAACGCAAATTTGGCAACCCATTCGCCCAGCTTGATCCTCGCTATTCCAACCTCGGAGGTACTACGCAGTTGCCTAAACCTTACCTGAACCCCAACATAAGGTAAAATAATAGCGCAAAATCTATTTTAAAAAATGGCCCAAAAGGCAATCATTCTACATACTTTTGGGGTTCAGGTAGGCGCAAAGCCCTGAATCCTTGTCAGTCTTCTTCTGCTGCGCAAGTGTCATGAGAACTGGTCCTGAGCGGGGATGGACCAATGGGTCCCTATAATTATCCCTTAGCCCTAAACCCTACTTCCTTAGGTTAGTACTGGCCCCTTGCACCCATGCCTTAGCATTCTGCAAACCCTACACACAACACTCTGAACCATGCGGCAGTAAGAAGAAATCCCTGGTTTCATTTCCCAAGCGCTCGACAGTCGCCTTGCGGACACCAAAGTGATAGAGATGGTTTAGCGTCCAATGAGTAGGCTTTACAGAGACTAAGTAAGATCCGTGACAAAGGTAGATGTGCTGAAATACGTGGTGTCAAGCATTTTTCTTGTGGATACTTTGGTTGGTCTAAGTAACCAGGTACGGGTTCAGCGTGCCATAACTCCCAAATCAAGGTATTATGTTTTGCATGCAAGGCACGATACTGTATTTGGTACCCCTCACTTTAGGATCCACAAATCCTACGTGCGGTGCACCCCCACCAAAGCAGTCTTAAACAAAAAACAGGATTTGCATGAGCTCGCAGTGTTTTCGTGTAGTTGTGGGGATTATGAAGGGCTTCTAGGAGAATCTGCGAAGCCTAACCCCTAAACCGAGCACAGGACCCAGGAGGCCCAATAGAGATCCTTGCATCATCAACGGTGTATATCTATGTATACACATATATGTGTATATATATATATATATCCATCCATATAGAGAAGGGGTCTCTGGGGATTAATGTGGCACCCGCTTTAGTG